TCCTCAGCATTGCCTTGCTTCATGTGTAATTGCATTCCTCTCCTAATAGAGAACAGATCCGGCTCTGATAGGAAGCACATATAGGTCGCTACTGTTTCTCTCTGTGTGTGTTTCTCATTTTACCAGGCTCGTTTCATGCAATATTTAGTCTAAGTGGTTGAGAATCTGATTTGCATGTGTTTATGTTGTTACTTTAATCTCAATCTCTCTCTCTCTTTCTGTTTTTGATTGCGTCAGACTGTGCCTCAGGCTCTGTCAGAACGATACTTGATAGTTTTGAATGTCTAGGCTTTTGTGCAGTGTCTTTCTCCTTGAGTTTACATTAAATCAGTATCAGCTTTATTCATTTAAACGTGGACTTTTAGACCTTACATGATCAAAGCATGTAATAAATTATAAAGTGTGATCAAATTAGGAGTTGTTCATGAGGAAAAACACACTCTATAAGTGTGTGTTATTTTCAGAATCTAATGTAGTTTTATTACTGAATTAGTTTTGATTTTTTAATTTTCTGTTCATGTCAACTTTTAGTATTTCTGTTGTGTTGTTTGTCATTGAGTTATCATTTTTAAAACTCCACACAGAAATGCTAACTGACCCAGTCAAGGCTCGAACCAGTGATCTTCTTGCTGTGAGGCAATCGTGCTACCCACTGTGCCACCATGACGCCTTAGATTTCTTTAATTTATTTTTAAACTAAACTTAATAATATTATATTAATAATAATAATTTTTTTTTTACTTGAATGTTTCTTTTTTAACTTAAAAAAGGTTTAAGTTATAAATTATATAAATATTTAAATTATATTTGTAATTTTCTGATTAAAAATGCAGAAATATTATATTGTTACATATTATTGTTACATATTATATTCAATTGCATGTAGATTTATATTAAAAATATAATGATTTTAGCAAATTAAATACATTTTAAAATGATACAAAATAAAAAAATGTAACAAATCAGAGAAATACTGAGGAGATGTTTTAATTTAATTTAATTTAATTTAATTTAATTTAATTTAATTTAATTTAATTTAATTTAATTTAATTTAATTTAATTTCACATTTTAAAACGATAAACAATGTGAAAATGTCATAAAAATCAAAGAAATACTCAGGAAAAATATATATATATATATATGGAAATATTTTTATTTTATTTTATTTTATTTTGTTAATTGTAAATCTTTTGTTGCACAAATATATATATATATATGGCAATGGCCAAAAATACAGTGCATGGCGCAAAATTATAGAGTTTTGGGTAAAGTTTATATTCAATGAAGATATTTTGTAGCTTTTCTAATGCAAATATATCAATATTAAATAAATTAATTATATGAAATAATTAAATATATGATTAGTAACATGTATTCCTACGAACTCAATTAGGTCAAGTTTATAGACAACTGTATCAGTATTTAGTTGTTGTTTTTTTTCAACCCTCATATTCTAGATTTCCAAATAGTTGTATACCTTGGATATATTCACTAATCCAAATGACCAAACATCAATCTAAAGCTTGATTATTCTATTTTCATACGATGTAAAAATCTCAATTTCCAAAAACATGCCTATTACGACTGGTTTTGTGGTCCAAGGTCACAATTTATATAGCTAAATGTCATTATATTCCAGTTCCTTATTCAATTTTCTCTTTTGTTTGTTTGTTTTTATATGAAAATAAAGCAGAAGTACTGATTTGATTACATATTGTCCTCCTCCACAACAGTCTGTATAAGAATAATCCTGTTCTTATTGGTCCTCATGTCAGAGGGTCATCTCGTGCCACATGGCTGGCCAGATCTGGAGTGACAGACAGAAGACAGTAGAGTGCAGTCTAGCCGTCGTACAAAAACCACCACAGCACAACGCCCTCTCACACACACACACACACACACACACACACACACACACACACACATACACACTCCACAAATCCCAATTATAGCAACATACTACAAAGAAGACCATCCAGCAAAGCCTGTCAACTTTTCAACCACACTTTCACCTCACACACACACACTCAGCTCATCACCTTTGGCTGTCAGTTTCCAGGACACGCTGCTCCTGAAGCTGCCAGAGAGGTGCAGATCAATAAGGCTGGATTCTACATCTCAAATCCCTCTGTACTGTCTGACCTGGAATCGGCCTGTTTCTCTGATTAGCCCCCAGAAACGCCCACTTCTTCCTCTCACACACACACACACACACACGCACACATACACACAGAATGCCTCATAAATATTGGAAGCATCTGCGGTTCCGGTTGAAAGCTTCCTTCTCTGTAGACTGTATATGTGTGTGTGCGTGTGCGTGTGTGTGTCATTGTTGAATAATTAATCTTTCGCTGTCAGTAATAAAAAAATATGCAGTGCTGCTATATAATGCACTTTCTCAAATATACACTCTATTTTCCCCACCTGGTGTCCTAAATCATTGCAAATATGACATATTGTCAATATTAATATAGAGTTGGATATTTCATGTGATAATTTTAATACATATTAGTCTTTTGGCAGTTAAAAGATATCTTATTTTTACTGATATTGTTGAATAATTCAATTTAAAGGTGCCGATAAAATTAAGGCAAGACAGTCTCGCGTTCTCTGCAAACCCACAGAGAGGCACTTTCTTGGGACTTAAAAAAAATTGTCTGTCCGGCATTTCTAAACCTTATAAAATGTCCGGGGTTTGGCTTTAGGTTTTGCCTTGTAAAGCTGTCGATAACTGTTTATGTTTTTGCATTACCTTTTTACTTAAGATTACTTTCTCTTGGCTTCACAGCTGATCACCTAGCAACTGTGACAGATTCCATTGACAAGTGGTATAAAACATGTGGCCGACTGGAATTTATTGAATGTGATACTAAATTGATATTAAACTTTAAACAAAGCGTCATTCCCAACCTAAATATGTTTACTTTGGTCTATTTACATGTACAGTTGAAGTCAGACTTTTTAGCCTTCCTGAATTATTACCCTCCTGTTTATTTTGACCCAAATTCTGTTTAAAGGAAAGTAGTTTTGCGCTACGTCACCGATTTTGATCCCGCCCTAAAATCATTTTAAACCCGGAAGATGAAATTAGCTGACAAAAGCTCAAAATTATCCAGTTTTCCCCACAATTACAGCTGAAAGGCGGTAATGTGGCCTAAGTGATGCTCAACAAATCTGTTTAAAATCTAAGAAAAAGTACTCGAGGGTTTCTTGAACCTTTAAAGGCTTAACAAAGTTAATTAGGCAAGTTAGGGTAATTAGGCAAGTCATTGTTTAACAGTGGTTTGTTCTTTAAACAATCAGAAATATAATATTGGATTAGGGGGCGGTCCCTCTTTATATTAAGTGTCCTAAACTACTATGTAATTACATCAAAAAAATAAATACAATGTACTTACTGTGTTTATAATGTATTTGAGAACACTTGTGGTGCCTTTGAGTTGGGTTAGAGGTTGGGTTATGGACAGGTTTGGTGGCATGGGTAGGTTTAAGGGTGGGTTAAGGTGTAAGGGATGGTCAACAGTGTATTTACAAATGTAATTACAAAAGTTAATTACAGATGTAATTACATACATTTATTCAATCAAGCTTAAGTACACAGTAAATACATGTATTTATACAATAAGTACATTGTAACAAACTATTAATTCATATGCAAGTACATATTAGTTAAGGCCACTTAATATAAAGTGGGACCAAGGGGGCTAATCATATTGACCTTAAAATGGTTAAAAAAAAATATATAAACTGCTTTTATTCTAGCCAAAATAAAACAAGTACAATTTTCTCCAGAAGAGAAAATATTATAGAAAATACTGTGTAGAATTGTTTAGGAAATATTTGAAAAAGAAACAAAAAATCCACAGGAGGGCTAATCTTTTTCTCATACACACTGAAAAATGTAACCCAAATATAAAACCACTTCTTAATAGGGTATCATATATATTCAAGTGGGCTAATAAATAATAAAAAAACAGTGCTTATGTATGTTTAAAAGTGAATTCTGTCCTTTTCTTATAAAACATCCGATCATTAGCCCCTTTCACGCATACAGACCTTTCCGGAAAATTACCGTCAATTTTCCCGGAAAGGTGTGTTTGTGTGAACAGGCCCTTTTTGAAAATACCGGTAAATTCGTTCTGGCTATTTTCCGGAAAGGGAAGTTGTAACATTACCAGTAATTTGCTGGAATGCTGCGCTGTGTAAATGCAGAAGGAAGATTGCCGGAAAGGTTGTGTGCACGTCTTGAACAAACTGACGTGAGACTCCTGCTTTAGCCAATTAGAACAGTCAGAAGCATTCACGTTCGCGCGGTTTATAAGAATAAAAGCCTTTGAGTATTTTACCAGACATATTTAGCTCCTAGATGTTTGTCAGATAACATTTATATGTTCATCTTAATGCCAACTGTGTAAATAATTATCGGTAAGATGCTTATGATCAGCCGTTGTTTGTTTACCTTCGAGCTTTGCGTGTGCCCGTGAAACAGCCCATGAGCACCAGCACACACATATCATGTACATCTCAACATGCGAAAGTGTTTTCATCTAAGTTGTTCACAATACTGATCCATCCACAGAGTTTGTGATGTAGTAAAATGTTTACAAATACAAGTGCAGCCGTATAGAGCTCATTTTTGGTTAATGATGTCAGAATTTACCGGTATTTTGGAATGGATGTGTGAACCGTCCTTTCCGCAAAAATTTCGTAACGTCCTTGTCTGTGTGCTTTTTTTAATTTACCGGTAAAATCGTTCTGGATATTTTCCATATATTTACCGGTATCACTGTGTGAAAGGGGCTATTGTCAGTGCGCAATGAATTATGGGATATTCTGGGTGATCTATTGTATTTTTCATTGCATTTAAATGAGCATTTAACTCAGGACATCATTTGTCTCAGCAAAGTGAAGCATTTGCCTTTGAATTGGGAAACGGTTGTGCTTAAAAAAGATGTATCTAATTGCTATACTCATCATCTGTTCACATCGTGTGTTTCAGGTACGATATGAAATTTGATAAAGATGACTTCACGCTGAGAATAAAGAAGGCAACAGCGAGTGATGAAGGAACCTTCACCTGTGTAGCGGAGAACCGAGTGGGCAAAATGGAGGCCTCCGCAACCCTCACGGTCAGAGGTCAGTTGAATGTCCGAGTCCACACCCCACACCAAAAGCGAAATCATGTCTGGTTGCCTTGAAAGTGTTTCATCATACAGTTTAAAAAAGTGACTCATGCAATCAACTTGGCTGAATGTTTTTGATTGCATAATTGATTACTAATTACTGCTTTTGATTACTTGATTATAATCAATTGTAGAATTACATTTTTTGCACCATAT